GCACAGCCAGCTCACAGCACCAGCACCAGCACCGGCAACCACCAGCACCAGCACCGGCACCCGGCATCAGCACCAGCAACCTGTCTCCACCACATGCGCAGCCAGCTCACAGCACCAGCACCGGCACCCGGCACCAGCACCAGCAACCTGTCTCGAAAGCGCGCACGGGCAAGTCATTGTTATTTGAAGTAAGAACCCCATAGCTTCGCTATCTGGGGAAAAATGATCACAATCATTCTGCCAAAAGTTGTCGCACGTGTTGGCTGCCTGGCCAATCGAATCCAGTTCCGTGTCTGGAAGCCTGCAAAGAATACACGTCAACAAGCCTTAAAACTAAAAAGCAACTTTAAAGTTCTAAGGGTCTTGCACAGCTAAAGCAGCCAACAATGTGCGGTACACTCGCGCACCTAATCATCAAAAGTAAAATATATAAGCAGAATAAAACTGTATAATTTGCTCAAAATTGGCACGGACCTACAACAAGTTCAAACAAACTGAATCTAGCTGCATGTGTGTTTTTAACACAAATCTGAGAAAGCAGCCTGCCTCTCGCCACCCGTTCAGAACATGTTCGCGAGCTTTCCTGCTGAGCAATCATCAGTCTGACAACTGCTTACAAAAATAGAGGAAGGCTGGACATTTCTATGCACATGTGTTTTGTTGGGTGTGGACACCTTGACGCAAACAAAACCAAGTCAAAAAGAACACACAGAACAAGGACCGGTAAAAGCTCAAAAACAATAGGGCCAAGTGCATAGGTATGAAAACTGCTTACTCGTGAAGAATGTGGCGCAGAGACCTAGAGGCTTCCCCTCTATCCCTTCCATTGAAGGTTGGCTGCTAGCTCTGACGTCCAAACAGTCACTCACATGTGCGAACTGGCTGGACATCAAGTAGTACCCGGCCAAGCCCGGTGCAATTTAAAAAATGTTGTTATAGAGACAACAAAACCTATAGATCAACACATGTCCCGTGCATCACAGCTGGTCACCCGACGTTTAACATCATTTAAAACAAACTTCTTTAAACCCTGAGCCGCCTTCCAATGTCCATCTTGTTTGAGTCAAGTGGACTTACATTGAACTGCTCAATCAAAAGGTCTTGCTTGTCCCTTGAACCATATGAGCAATTTACTTGAGGCCGAGGGTAGGTGACGAAAGCCAGCAGGGATGCATCAGTGTCAGTGGAGGCGAAGCATACAGCGCCGTCCAGTGACAAAGGACTGGTGGGACATCAAGCGGAGTGAGGCAAATCTTTTTTTCATAGGCATGGGGCTGTTGGAGGGATGGTTCACAAGGTCTCGCTCATGAGGTAAAACGTTGTGAACATGTAAGACACACGAACAGCAATGACACAGCCAACCTTAGCTTGTGAATCTGTTGCATCGTATCCCAAAACCTCCACGGAGGAGTTGAACCAAAGTGGATGCCATAAGAGGTGTCCAAGAGGCGCCCAAGAGTCCCAGGGGGGAGTTGAACCCGCAGGGGGGGGGGCCTCTACATATGACGTTTTCACGTGATGCGGCGATCTCGAGGATTCCAGCCCCTCACTTGCTAAAGCAAGGACAACTCCAGCTAGCTGGCGCTAGCTTTTCAAAAGGTCTTGCTTGTCCCTTGAGCCATATGAGCAATTTACTTCTTGAGACTGCGCATCTGCTACTTACTTACTTTCTAAGTGTCCGTGACGCGGACATTTATCTTTCAAATCTATCTCCTTTGATCATATCCAAGAAGATCTACAAATGTCTGATTGGCGGTAACAATCCCATGTCGGCATCAAACAAATGACTCGGGCCTGAGATTCGCTTTCTCGGAAAGCGTGTTCCTGCAGGACGCGGCCAATTATCATCATCAGCACCAGATCTGAAAGCTGTTGGCGCATTTCATCACAGTAATTTTCAATTCAGTTCCAAAACGTTCAATGCAGTACTGTGTGCACCAAGTCACAACCCACATGTGCGCGAGCTGGATATCGATGAGCAACGCCAAGTGACGCGCCTGCAAACATTCAAGCGGTTGGCCTCAAGTTGTTGTTCGTCGTTGCACCTCTCACTAAAAACAATTGTCACACAAGTGTTGAGGCCACCTGCATCTGCACTGTCAAAGCAGTGAAGCCGTTAACTGCAATCTTGGTCAGTGCAAGTCGCTCTTCTTGACTCATTTCCTTAGAAAAAATAACAGAAAGAAAAAACATCAGCATCAACAAATCAAGACCTTCTGGCAAATAGGTCAAACTTTGTCTTATTCTCGGATTCCACACCAACCATTCATGGATCCAGGGCAAAAGCCCTTCACGTTCCACCATTGCTGCTTCACTCACCTGCATGAAGCGCTTGTTAGGGGAAGCGTGACCGAAAGGGGAGGGCATGGACTACTGCGCCCAATTGATTTCAATGGTCACATGACTGGCACCGCAATATCTCTGTCTGATCGAGGTTTCCTTGCAAAGTTTCTACAGTCCCCAAATCTAACAATAGGCGCATAATTTTCCCCATGTTGTGAGCCTTTTCCACGCAGAATCTGGACATGTTTTGGTGCTTCATCTAGATAGATAGATTACATAGGCAAGACAGACAAGATAGAAAACAATAGGATAGTTAAGGCTAAAATAGAGATAGATAGATAGATAGATAGACAGATAAACAAATAGACAAATAGACAGATACGTAGATAAATAGATAGATAGATAGATAGATCGATAGATACATAGAAACACAGATACAAGATAGATAGATAGATAGACAAATAAAAAATTAGATAGATAGATAGATGGATAGATGGATGGATGGATAGATAGATAGATAGGTAGATTGGTAGGTAGATAGATAGAAAAAGAAAAGATAGGATAAGACCAGATAAGACAAGAAAAGAAAAGATATGATATGATATGATATGATAAGAAAAGGTAAGATAGGCTTAAGATAAGACAAGGAAATTGGAAAAAATAAGATAGGAAAAGAAAGATGGATAGATAGATAGATAGATAGATGGATAAATAGATAGATAGACAGATAGATAGATGGATGGATAGATAGATAGATAGGTAGGTAGATAGATAGACAGACAGATGGGTCGTGTTCTGAATAGAAAAGATCAGATAAGATAAGGTAAGAAAAGAAAAGATAAGAAAAAAAGATGGGATCAGGTAAGATAACAAAAGATAAGATAAGATAAGGTAGGGAAAGGTAGATAGATAGATAGATAGATGGATAGATAGCGGGATTGAGGGATAGATAGATAGATAGATAGATAGAAGGATAGATAGAGATTGATGGATGGATAGATGGATGGATAGATAGGTGGATAGATGGATAGATGGGTAGATGGATGGATGGCTAGATGAATAAATGGATAGGGACAGATAGATAGATGGATGGACGGATAGGTGGATAGGATGGATGGGGTGGATGGGTGGATGGATGGCGGGGAGAGATAGGTAGATAGATAGATGGATAGGTAGGTAAGTAGTAGATGCACGCACACCGGCTCCAGGTAAGGAGGGGATGCAGACATCCGGCACAGATTCAAAACAGCGTCAAGAGCTTCTGTAGCAATGAGTCCAAGTTCACACATGGATGCGTTGCTTCGAAGACAACCTCAACAGGCTCAGTCAGCCGATTTTCAAGTCAGGCTACAAATCCTTTCAATTCAGCCCGCGCAGCTAGTGCCCAGACTTGACGGCTACAGGCAGCAAGTCAAGCTGCACGCCGCCAAGGCCAAAGCCACTTGGGCAAGGGAAGCAGTCAATAGTGGGGCTGAAACACCGCGCATACTGCTGAAGGCCCTTGTCAGCATGTTGGCCATGATCGGTAAAGATATGGTACTGCATGCCTTTCATGGCAAGCTCAACACCACATCTTCCACAGCGGCAGCCATAGACGCTTCTGATCGTCCAACCAGACGAACTCCAGGTTGTCAGCCATCTTGAAGGTCTATGGAGCCTGCAGTGCCGAGGACTGGTAGCGGAGCTTTGGTTCTACACAGTTGTGGCCTTTCTTTGTGTAGCTGTTACCGCACTTGCAAGCTCTACCCAGGGACAAGGCTTGTTGTTGATAACGTTAATCAAGATAGTACACACGAAGCTTGAAGAGCAGCAAGAAAAGCAAGCACGTTGAGATCTCCCCAACCAAGTGGAACGTAAGAGCCCAAGGCCTTGTTCTGATCAAAGCGCTTGAACGCTGATTCAATGTGAACTCGAAGACAGTAGTGCGTTGTTGACGGCCACATTGCAGTGGGTGTACCATCCGATGGTCCGGCCGTCTGCAATAGTACGCTTTTTTGGCGCGATCAGGCAGAGGACCAGCCCCAGCAACACCAGGTTCCTGAAGTTTCTGGGAGGAAGTCGGCGGTGTATTTCTTGGGTTGAGTCATACTTTTTTTCATGGCCGGGCAATGACACATTGAATTCTTCCCATTGCACAAAGTGCATTCAGTGAAGATGAGTCAAGAGCTCCTTCCCATTAGAGATACAGTTACTGCAGTTGCAAAGGGTGCGTCGTGTCCGCCCCTTTTGCGCCCAATCTTGATCTTCAAGCAGCGCTGTCCACATCCACGCCTGGTCGTTGGAGTAGTCTCGTAGTCCATCACAATCAGCACAGGCCACCTGCCAAGAACGCTGAGGCTCAAAAAAGGTGACCATGTCCGAATCGGATATGAGTATATAACAAAGCCTCCAGGTGGCAAAGCTGTGTCCACCATGTCTGCAGTTGGCAGCACCTCCTTGGGCGTCTCTGTGAACAACAAGGTACTGATAATTGTGTGAGTTTTGCGTTGTCACAATACAGACATCTGCCTCAAAGATGTGAAGAACACGTGTCTCCTCTTGAGAGAGTGGAAGTCGCTGCAAGAAGTCACTAGGGGACAAGCAATCTCGAAGTCGCCAAATCACGTAATGTCATGGGATCTCGATGTTCTGCATTTGCGTTGGGTGAATGGCGGAGTTGAAGCCCCCCAGTCAAAGTCAGCAGATTAATTAATCTGATGGGCCAAGAATGGACCAATTGACCCAATGTCTCCCTAAGAGCCATTCTGGCCTGGCCAGGCTCAGGTCTTGTATTCGCGGCGTTCAGCGGACGCTGATAGACATTGAGCAAATCCAAGATGCCCTGCGCCGTTTGGCGCCGAACATGAAGGAGCCGAACCGGCGCCACAGATACCTGTTCAGCGCACAGTTTTTGTGAAGCAGACTTAACACCCCCGCACGATCCCCTGCGTCGGTGAGGGGAAAGCAAAGTATCCAAACGAGGTCTACGGTTCCTCAAAGGTCCATCTAGCACCCTCAGATACTGAAGAATATTATCCAGTTTCTGGAGATGAGCCCTTGTCATCATTTCAGTCATCTCTTCGCGAGGCTGGCAGCGCCTAGTGGAGGCAACGTGATCAGCAATCAGGATGCGACCACGATAGGTAGCAACGCGCAATCGAAGTCTCCTTTTAAGAGGTGTCCCGTGGAACGCGCAATGCCCTTGACCAAGATGTTCAAGGGTTTTCTTGGGGCGATCGTCCTTCAGAGGATGTCTTGCCCCATCCTCTTTACCTTTCCAAGAGCTAGAAAAATTCATGGCAAGTGGCCTCGACGGAAAGGCCCGGGACTTGGGACCCGGTGGATCAAAGATGCTCCGAGCAGCACCAGGAACACAGCGCCAGGCTGAGCACCGCGCACAGCAGGTGGAGCAATGTCTCACGATAGGGGAAAAGGCCGGGACAGCCTTCTGTAATCCAAAACGCTAGACAGATGGATAGACAGATAGAGATAGAGATAGAGATAGAGACAGAGAGCGAGAGAGAGAGAGAGAGAGAGAGATGGAGAGATGGAGAGATGGAGAGATGGAGAGATGGAGAGATGGAGAGATGGAGAGATGGATAGATGGATAGATGGATAGATGGATAGATCGATCGATCGGTCGATCGATAGATCGACAGATGGAGAGATGGAGAGATGGAGAGTTTTTCGAGTTTTTCGAGTTTCGGGCGCTCTCAAGTCATCTCGAGACTGCGGGGCGCAGGATGTTGTATCCTGGCTGATACTTAAATCAGACTGTGCCAGCACCGAAGTGCGCTACGTGGCCATCTGGCCATTGAAGAAGAAGACCTTTCAAAAACCTACCTCAAGCCAAAAACCGCTGCGGCAGCTCGAGGTGACGAAATGACCCATTGGGTCAAAGAATTTATGAAGCGGCCAACGTCAGTTGGCTCAGCAGAGCAACCATGGTTCACATCCAATCCTGGGAGAACACATGGCCTTGAAAAGCCAAACCATCAGCGGCGGTTGTTGTCAATCCACAACCAAATCAATCCATGACTGCAGTTGCAGTCCAAGAGACCTGGAAGGCCCTTACTCAATGGAGTCTACTGCCAGGTTCACTTCCAAGTGAATGGGAGAACTCATGGCAGTGAGGTGCGTATGCTGTGGCAGTTGCCAGCCTTTGAACTGTACTGGATGGAGCACACATACAAGAAGGAAGAACTGGTGGTGCTCAACAACCAATTCCAATCATCTTTACATGCTCAGATACGAAGGATGGCCAGTGCATTGGGGAGCTCAATCACTTCGCGAGGGCTCACCCACTGCGGCTCTGTTCAGCCTTGGCCATGGAGGTATGCTCCCAAGTCACTGCTAGCCTCAGCTTCTTTAGTGGCTGATCTCCCGGGGGCGAAGTAGGCGCTGTTGTTGAGTTGAACCTGCTGATGGTACCTTAGGGCAAGCTGCAGATTCAGCTCAGCGTGGCATCTGTGCGAGTGTTCAGATCTTTCTCAATCACACCTTGGTGATCAGGGTGCCTCAGCCGGATGCGTCGACTCAGGCCTTCATATGCAATGAACAGCTTCCCACACAGACTACAGTAGCTTCGAAGACGATCTAGGTGTTCTTGGGGGTAGGATTCAAAGGTCAGTCCATGACACATGTATTCCTCCTGCAGCTGCCGGGGGAAGATGTCGGTGCCTGTGAGCCCACCACGCCAGAGGCCAAGGTCGACAGCATTATCACGAAGAAGCCAGACCGTCCGAGGTGTCCGGGAGTGCCTGTCCAAGAATTTCAGCTTCTTTGAGGTCATCAAATTGGACCCATCCCCTGGCCGAACGGCCCAATGCTCTGAAGTGACCTGCCCTGTCATCACCTAAGTGGCGAACGGCTGCCGCGAGACAGTATGGTCGAAATCGGACCCCCAGTGCTTCCACCTCCTGACATGGAATCCATACCTGATCTTCGAGTTCAAGTTCCCAGCGGCCCCGGATGACGTGACCTTGGTTATTCCGCTCAAATCTGTCAAGGTGCAGGCAAACCAATCGCTCGTTGGCATTAAAAGCCGTTTGCATGCC